CGTGGCAGCTTAGTTGGGCTGGGGGGATGGTGGGGCATGTGCGCGCGCATGCATCTCTTTTTGGTAAATGTGACTTGTGGGGTTGCCTTGCCAGTGCGACAAACTTTAGAGGTTGTCGCGTGTAGGCTTGGTGCAGTAGAGGTGTTTACAAGAGTCCCAGTGTCTACGAGTTGCTTACAGACCCTAGAAAAACATCTCTGAGGTCTTCTAGAGGTTTACGGTTTCAGGTTTGCAACCTCCAAACCCTAAACCTTAAACTTGAAAGCCCTAAGTCACAGAAGAAATGTTGGCTTCTGCAACCTTCGAGGGATGTTTCGGGTCTAGGGTGTGGGGTTTAGGGTTTGGCTTTGGGGCTGCAGAGTTTAGGGTTTCGAGTTTAAGGGACGCGGGGCAATCTTCGGGAAAGAGGGTGGGTTTGAGAGATTTGGTGGGATTTCTTGATTTTGCCGGGGTCTTGTTGGGCTGGTCGGCTTTTGGGGAGGGGGTGGGGGCGTAGATGGGGGTCACGTGGGGGCAGGTAGTAAAATGGCTCCCATGATTTGCAGCACGACTCTTCAGCCCTTACACAAACCCTGAGCCCTCAACGATCCAAGTCAAAACTCTACAAACCCTAAATCTGGAGCGCTAGACCCTAGATTCTCAGCCCCTCTCCAAAGTCGAGAACCCTAAAAACCGAAACCCTGAACCTAAACCCGAAACCCAGCTATGTGAGCGCCAACCTGCGTGGAAAGACCATGTCCATGTGTTTGAATATTAGGGGTTGGGTGATAGGCAGCTACAGGCCTGCTCTTGCCTTTCCTATGCTGCCAGGGCTCAATGGAGCAGGCGCCCGACTGCCCCTTTTGGACGTAGTACGACATTCAGCGTGGCTTCTTCGTTGGTCAGCGGCGGAGGAGACAGTGACTGGGAAAGATGCTATCCTTATGAGCACTCTGAGCTCTTTTCTGGCGAACCCATCCTTGAAGGCAATAGCTACACCTGTAGCGCTGGATGGATAGCGCTCACCAAGCTCTTGGTTCTGCAGGGAACCGCGACACCTCGGCGGCCCAAGGACTTCCTACCCAACGGGCCGTCGCTGCTGTAGCAGCGGCCGAACTTGCAAACAACCCTAACCCCTAACCCCATCTCTGCGAACGTGGCAGCTTTGATCTGCCGTGGATTCTTTTTCGGTTTAAGGTTTAGGTTTAGGGTTGAGGTTTAGGGTTGAGGGTTTAGGGTGTTTAGTGTTCAGGGTTTTCGAAGCTTTGTGCTCGGGCTTCAGAACATGAACAACTAAACAACCACGTAGCCCCAAACAAACCCTGAAAAACCTGCCCTCCCCACACTAGCCTTCTCCACCGGCTTCAGGCGCCTGCAGCCAGTTGGTGTTTAGGGTTTGTGGCTCTTGCAGTTGCTTCTACACCGGAACAGAGTGAGATTTCGGGTTTAAATGTAGCACTTGAAGCTCTGCCTTCGATTACTGTTGCTTCTGCCCTCGGATAATGTTGCTTCTGCGCCAAAAAATATGTATGTCCATGAGAGGCGGCAGCACTTGCACAGCACCTTCAAGACACTTCGCCAGCATAGACAAAACTTGCACGTTCACCAGCGCTTTGAAGGGTCACACCTTCACCAGCGCGTTCACAGCGCCCCCGTCACTCTCCATCAATTGGATCAAGATGCCGGAACCTGACAGGGCCTTGACAAGGATTTAGGGTTCAGGGTAGGGGTTTGGTTTGGGTTTAAGGTTTAGGGTTGAGGGTTTAGGGCTCAGGGCCTAATAATCAAGGTTCATGGGTTTAGGGCTGCTGTGGCCGGGCAGGTTAACAACAAATCATAGTCAGATCCGAAGCGCTAAGCCCCGAAACCCCTACAGAGAATAACCCATACGTGTCTCGCTCGGGCTTTCGGGGCTCTGCTTCTTCATCATGTTTCGGGATATGACTTTATGTTTTGTATCGGGCCACACAATAACATGTTCGCGGGGCTTGTTTTATCTCCCTTGTTTATACTTTTGTTTCGAGCAAAGCCGTCCTGTCGAGGGCTTCTTTTCAATCTTTTGCAGTGCATAAACATGCCAAAAGAATTTTCCATTTGAGCCAAATTAGGCCCCTCAAATATCAAGGCTTCTTGTGTGTTGAACCATCACCACCCCATCCAAAAAAGACATCGAAACCCTGAGAAAAGACACGGATGTACAGATTATTGCTCTGGAGTGGAATGGCAAGTTACGGTGATCCTGACTACTGGCTGGCCGGCTTACTAACAGGCTATGAGGCGCACAAAACTTCACCGTGGACAAGAGCAGGTGCCCTGCGGGCACGCCGGAGGAAACGCCGATCGACGAGGACCCCACGGGCGTCAATCCTGGCACCGTAGTGTCATGGAACGACCCCTGCGGCAGCCCGAAGTCCCAGCAGGCGACAAACACAAAGAGTTCCCCCCTGCAAGGCGACTGGAGCACTGAGCAATGTGCGAATCCACCGAGGAAAGGGAATTCCCCTGAGAAGCCTTGCGCTGCTCACAAGCGGCATATGCCTGCATTTGCTGTTCATGCGTCGTCAGATGAGAGGAATCCCTGGAGTCCAGGTTTGCAAAAGCGACTCCGACGAATGGCTGGCAGGCTGCTCCTCGCCTTCGATGCACACCAAACTGCGCCTCCGGGCAGGTGGCCAAGTTTGTAGTATGGAGCTCAGAAGCCAGTTACGAACTTGCTGCTGTTTCTGTTGCTTCTTCGTCGGAACTCTCGCTCTTCCGGTCTCCATGTTTAGCTGCGTTCCGGGCTGTCCTTTGACGGGTGAGTAGGCTCTCTAGCGGGACGACCGTCGAAACGTGGATGACTTGGCGTCGAGCCACGCCAGATTTTATGCCGCAGAAGTGCTCTTACATACCCACTTACGAAGGCTGCTATCAGTACTGTATCGGGACAGGTCGCTCATGGGCCGTGCCGGCCCAGAAAGCCACGGCGGCAGCAGGCGGTGCCATTAATTTGAATATCTGTAATCCGCCCTTGCCTGGCCTCCGACTTGAGCGGACTTCACTGTTCGGCGACCCGAGCCGAGGACGATTGGCAGGCCGGGAGGTCGATCTATGTCTTCCTTTCCGGCTCCCTCTATCCGTGACGGAAACTGGCGGAGGCATGTTTCAGTTTGTGCCAAACGGCCGCCCCACCGCAAGCAAATTGGTACGATGCATTCACGGCACACTGGGCGGCCCAACTGGGGTTGGCAACCGCTGTACATGTCAACAAAGGAGCTCTCAATCATTTTTGGGCCAAGCTGTACGGAAATGCCAAGCGGCAACACCCTGAATGGCAGCAGCTTGCCACACTTACCAAATTTCCGCTTCAGCTCAGCAGCAATGGAACAGTCACTGAATGGAACGTTCGAGCTGCAATAAGGGCGATGTGGCATCAAACGCCGCCTGCCCTAGCTGCTTTAGAGCAAGTTGTAATTCCTGCTGGTGCTGCTTTTTGGGGGGCGCGGGATTCTGGACGAGCACATTTGAAATGCACATCCCCATCCGGGGATGTGCAAGCGCAAGCTGCCGGTGATTCCAGCAGTGTCGATTCGACAAGCCCAGGCAAGTACGACAAACCAACCCTGGCAATAGCGCACGCTGGCTGGTCCTTGCGTGCAAGTGTTCACTCACAACTTTCGACTGCTGAGATCAACATGCCCGGCTTGTTCGCTGACGTGGCTTTATGATCTATTGATGATTTAGTGTCGATTATGGACGGAGGTTTTGATCTACTGGCAAACGCATGGACACATGACCCGCATTTTGCGAGACTGCACTTCTCTCATTGCAAGACTGAAGCAAGAATGAACTGAAATCGCCCTTCAAGGACACCTGCTGGTGGACACTGGCGCTGCTGTTTCAGTTGCGGCCCTGACACCTTTTCCAGCAAGCTGGACTTGCCTGTGCTGCGCCAAGGCGGGACGTGCCACGCGAGCCCACGGCCGAAAAGAAGGAACGACGCAGGCTCACTCGCCTGCCATTCCGAAGCTGGTGTCCGGAATGCGTGCGTTGCCGGACGCGGCGGGCATCACGGCAAGAAACGGTCCAGATGGATTACACCTTCTACTCGCGAAGGGCGCAGCAAAGACTCGCGCCGGAGAGTCTGTGCTGGTCATAGCGTTGACGCTTGTAGACGTTCGACAATTTAAGTGATTCCTCAAGTCCAATGGCCAGGGCCAAACCATGAGTGCTCAGATTGAACTTTACGAGCAATTTGAGGCGACTATTGTGAAGGAATGTCGGAGATGGAGACTTTGGTAACGTGTCGTCGTGCCATCTCCCAAACGCTTCGTCTTCTGAAACTTAAAGATCTCAGGAGGTGTTCATCACGGTTAAAAAACACTTTCGGGACGTGGACAAACCTAACCACGAAGGCCGAGTGCCAGAGAAAAATTTTGTGCAAGTTGTGGTTGTCAGTTGCCGTATTACTTTGGCGAATGATTGCAAGTGGTCCAAAGCTGAAACAGCCTTGGAACGGCGGGAGGCTTTCCTGCAAATAGTTCAGGTTTTCTATAAGCAAAATATTCGAAAGCATATTCTTAAAACAACCCGGATGACGAATAAGTCAGCGAGAAGCATGTTGCATACTTGATCAAGGGCCCAAGGCCAGCCAACTAGAGACCATTGCAGATCGACGGCTGCAACCCTTTGGCTCTTAGGTCGAATCGAAAGGTCTGTAAGAATCAATTTTGTGTGCATTCGGGTTCTAGTTCGGGACAGAGGCTTTTTCATGCCACAAGAAGCAGGTTCGTTCAATTGTTGCAACACACAGCTACCTGTCTCACCAGACCAATCTCATGATCGATGTATTCAACATGTCCTTGAAAGCATTGTGCCAAGATGTCGCTGTTTTGGAGCTTTGGCTGACTTAGTTCCAACATACAATGACAACGGTGTAGTGTCACGTAAATGCACACGCCATTGCCGGGTTGTCGTATGGAGAGCATCAAGCATCATTAAGTGTGCGTCAAACCTTCCATAAACATCCGTCCAGAAACTAAATGTCTTCCTTGTATGAAAATTTGCGCCAGCTGATCACCGTCGGGGCCTTGGTCACACTTGGGCTTCGGGCTCAAGTCGTCAATCCCCTATGGCATGTGGTGCATTCACTTCGTGCATTGAGCTCCGAGGTTGTTGATGAGTTGCGCGATGTAGGGTGTGGAGCTCGGCCATCGTGAACCCCCATGAAACGCCAAAAAACTGAGGATTTGCACATTGGTTGCTCAGGTTGCAACGCTACATCAGCTTGCCGCGAATAGCGGCCATTGGCACTCAAAGCAGTGGGAAAAGCTCGCTGATCGAATCCATCGTCGGGTCTGGTTCTCGGGGCATTGTGTCTTCAAGACACAATGCTTGTCTTGTGTTTTGGCGAAAACACCTCACAAATATCAGGCTTGATTTTCTGCCTCGGGGCGGTGGCGTGGTGACCAGGCCAGGCACATGCATCGTTTGTGTAATTTTTTCGGATACACTTGCTGACGTGTTTGAAGATGTTTGGTGCATTCTGAAGAATGTCCAACAGATCAATGCTCAGAGGGTTTGTGAATGGAAGCCACAACTGGTAGGCGGCCGTTGGAGCTGCGATTAGTTCATCTCAGCACTCAGGACAGAGCCAATTGGTCAACATGCGTCGAATGCGGTTTTGAGAGTGTGTGTGTGTGTGTGTGTGACAGTGCAGGAATTTGATGAAGGCCAAGCTTGGGCGATATTTGAGAAGACAGGCTCGGCACTGGCAGCAGCACTCATGCCAACCTTGCAACTTACGGCCTTTACGGCGTTCATGCCCAAACATCGTTGGTAATCAGCATGCAATCGTTGCAGGCACTTTCGCGTAATGCGCCCTGGCCAATCTCAGGTGACAAGAAATTCACAAATTTCGACGATGTTCGGAAGGTCTGTGTAGCCTGTTGCTTTCCTAGCTGGGGGGATGCGACGTGCTGCTGGTGCGAACGGCTGTTAAGCTAGGAGATCGAACGTCAAACCGATGCCGTGGCTGGCACGTGTCTTCCTGAGTGTGTTGTGCGTTCCACTTTCATTAGTGGCAGCGACTCAACACAACGATTCATGGTAAGACTTTTGCTGACCCTTCAGAGGAACAAGGGCATCGTGAACGACCCGATTGTGCTGACTGTCTATGCTACGGGTGCCCCAGACCTTACTCTCATCGATCTGCCGGAGGGCTCAGAGTGGCTTTGAGTGGCTTTCGAAGATGCGCTGTAGTCACTGTAAGTGCAGTCAGCCTTCGGCATGTGCCAACGACAGGCCGGGTGTGACGAGAGTGCCACTGCGAGGCAGCGACCAGGCACTGAGTTGCATCTGTGAGCTCTTTGGAGTGTGCTCTGTCTTTTGTAGTGTCTCTTAAGAGTCAGGTGGATGACATTGAGAAGGTCACCCGGGAGATGACGCTGCATTACATCAAGGACGTTGTTTGGTGTTGTTTCTATTTTCTTCGCCTTCCGCACTTCGTGCTGACAACCCAGCACATGTTTCCGACAGTGCGCAGGACCCACGGACAATCATTCTTTGTGTGATCCCTGCGAACCAGGACTTTGTTAGCTGTCGGTGATGTGACGTGCATGTCCTTTGGCTTGGGATCTTCTGTTGCAGGACATGTCTGTATCAGATGCCCTTCAGCTGGCCAGACAGGTGGATCCCCAGGGAATGAGGCATGCCCGGAGTGAAGCTGCCTTCGAACCACGCTGGTCAGATTGTAGGCAGTATTCTACCCCAATAAGTCTAGCGAGATCCAGGCGTACAGTGAAGATGAGAGCGGCTAGAGTGGCATTCGCGTGAGATGTCTATGTGATTCGGAAATAGAGGCTCTAAAGAAGGCCCTCAAAACAAGTGCTGTGATGTTCAAGCTACCAGGTCCATTGGAGTGATCACGAAAATAGACATCATGGACCAGGGCACAGATGCTGTCAAGATGTGGCTTGGCGGCAGCAGCTGGGTCTAAGAGCCTACGTCGCTTGCGGGACAGCCAAGCCAAGCCAAGAGCCATCAAGAACCCTGCCTTAGCGAAATACCAGCAGTCGAGGTTGGGTCGAACCTAGCTTTCGTTCGTGCACTTCTTGTCCTGTATGTCCTGTGGCCCCGTGCCATGGTGAAGGCTTCGTGGTGAGGAGATTCCGCTACGTCCGAGTCTTAAACTCTCCAAGTTGAGAACTGGAAAGAGCTGAAGAGCTGGCGCGGCCGAGCTGTGATGCTGAGACTTGCCCACTGGCCAACTGCAATCTGTGATCGTTTTAGACAGCAACTAAGGCTTGGGCTATGTTGGTGTCAAGATGCGCAACCAACAGGATCAAGGGCTGCTTTCGACATGGTAGAATCTGGCTTCTTACTTGCCTCGTTTTTAGGACATCACCAGCAACAAGCCAGTAAAAGTCTCCTTGAAAGAAGAGAGGCGCGCATCAGGGGCCTGACTCTGCTTCCTCTGTCTGCTCCGTGTTTGCTCTGCTTCTGCTTCTGCGCAGGGAGTGGTTTGAGAATCACCGCCTCTACAGCAAGCTTCCCCCAGGTGCCGGAAAGTCTCCTACAGGGTTGCTTTGATGTTGCTTTGATGTTGATCCGTGCAGTGGCAGGTTTGGTGGGAACCAGCACCCTGATTGACAAGCTGACGCAGCACCTGCGTTGCATGAGATACTGACTGCCATACGTATCCTGTTTTGGAGACATGCATGGACGTCAATGTGTGCACCGCATGCGCTCCATGCTGTGGACTGTGTGGCCGCCAGCTTTCTGAGCGTGGCAAGTTGAGGATTCTCTTCAAGCACATCCGGCGACACTTGTCTAGAACCTGCTGTGGGAACATAGTTCAGAATTCAGGGCTCAGGACGCAGTGTGCAACGACAACCTTGGCATCTTTACTGCTGAGGGTTTCTGCCAGAGATCAAAAAAGAGATCAACGAAAGGCGAAGGCCATGGTGCTTCAGATATACGTCTTGCGGAGCACTGCTTCGAAATTCTATAGCCTCTATAGCGTTTTTTGAGCATCAGGACCGTGCAAGATCGCCTCGAAGAGTTGGGCTGGGCGCCCGGGGCTAGTAAGTTAGTAAGATTCATTCTCAGCACTCTTCAAGGCTGTGAGACCTATGGCACACAAGACTTGATCACACTGATGTTACATTGATGAATGACGGAATGATTCGGAATGATTGATAGAAAGACGCGTGAATAAGGCCCACCCTCTCGCTTCTCCTTTTTTTTTTTTTTTAGGGTTTTGGGGTTTAGGGTGTCGGGCTTTAGGGTTTAGGATGTAGGGTTTTCAGTTTAGGGTTTAGGATTTAGGGTTTAGGGGTGTTAGGGGTTAGGGTTTAGGTTTAGGGGTTCGGGGTTGGGGTATAGGGTTGGTTTCGAGGAGACCGTAGACCATGGGAGGGGGGATGCCCAGGGGGGGGGGGGGGAAGTGTCACCAAGGTATGGTATCCCCCCCCCGCCGCCCCTGTGGTCCCTGTGGTTTGGGGTGGGGGGTGGGTATTTAGGGCTTAGGGGATTTAGGGTTGAAGGGTTCTAGAGTTTTGGGGCTTAGGCTTTTCGAGGTTGTGGGTGTTGGGTGGGGTTCGAAAGTGTTTTCAGTTTTGGAGGATCCGTTCAGGGTTGCAGGTTTAGGGTTTAAAGTTTGGGGGTTTACGACTTGGGGTTTAGGGTACAGGGTTTAGCTTTGCGTGTGCGAGGGAGGGGTGGAGGAGGGGGGTGCTGCTGACACGGCGACACGGAACCGTATATGGTCACAACCCCATGTCCTACCACTCTCGTTTCTCTGCTTGCCTTCGTGAATCCATGCTTCTTCACGCTTCAGTTTACGATCTCTGGCTGGGGTGTGGACGGTTTGGACTGTGCACCCGAATTACCTTGTTCTACAAGTAAGTTGCAGCAACGGCAGGGCAGGGGTAGGGGCCCTTCGAAACTCAACCGTCTTCGCGAATTCCCCATCTACCTACCTCTCGTACAGCCAAGCTCATCACTTGGTACTTGTTCAAGATGGTTGCAAAAACACGTAGCATCTGGTCTTTGCACAGGGTACATACGATGCGGGGAGAAATATATATGTGTGTATATATCTATATATGCAGTATGTACATATATATGTGTATGTATATGCATATGCATATGTATGTGTATGTGTATGTGTATGTGTATATGCATATGTATATGTATATTTTAAGAGAAAATTTATGTGTGTAAAAACAGAGAAATAGACAAACATGCAAATATACGTGTATATATGTATATATACATATATATATATATGGGCGTCCGCCTATTGCGGTTCCCCTTATTTGCGGTTCCCCTTATTTTTTTTGTAGGTTTACATAAATGTATATATTTTAAACCCTAAACCATCGTTATAACCACAGCAACAAGTCGATGATGATGTAGGCACCCCAAACCTATAGGGTTAAGTTCGACAGGTTTAGGGCTTAAGATTGAGGCATTTAAACGTAAGCCCGCAATGAAACCTGAACCCTAACCGTTCAACCCGATAGAGTGAAGGTTAAGCGGTTAGGGTTTAAGATTTAGGTATTTTTAAACTTTAAACCTAAACCCATAGAGATGTAACCTTAAGGGTTGAAAGTTCGGGCAGTTAAACCTCAACCCTGAACCGTTTAGGGTCAGAACCCTAAAGCCCGATAGGGCTCTACAAGGAACAAAGGTTTTGACCCTAAAGGGTGCTGAAGGTATACATGCCCGGACCTTAGGTTTTCTTGAACCATTGAACCCTACAGGGTTTAAAGGCTTAGGGTTAAAGGTTTGGGCATTACCAATACAATAGAACCTTAAAGCCCTATAGGGCTTGGGGCTTAAATCCCTAAACCTTAACTCCCATAGGGTTATGCCTACGTTTGTAGGGCTTTCGTCCCGGTGACGCGAGAATACTGTGAGCAAACGTCCTTTCACCACTTCCTCGGATTCAAAATATACACAAACCATATCGTTATATGATAGAATTCAGGTTTTGCTTATCGGGGGATGGTTGCTTGCGATATCTTAGCCTAGGTAAAGTTTTTAGGATAGAGGTTGTGTTTTGCTTATTGGGGCGTGATGGGGTTACCTTCATTGTCTTAGAGGTTTATTTACATGTATATAAATCAAACCCTGAACCCTAGTTATAGCCGCAGCAAAAAGTTATAACCTTTCATACACATATATCCTACTTGCTGGGATTCAACATATAAGCAAACTATATCGTTAAATGATGGAATTCAGGTTTTGCTTTTCGGGGGATGGTTGCTTGAGATATCTTAGCTAAGGTAAAGTCTTTGGGACAGATGTTTTGTTTCGCTTAATGGGGCGTGATGGGCTTCCCCTGAGTTTTTGGGTTTACATAAGTGTATAAAAATCAAACCCCAAGCCATAGTCATAAGCACAGCAATAAGTTATAACCTTGTCATATAGATATTTCCGCAGAGCTCGTCAAATCCGATCATGATGTAGGCACCCCAACCCTATAGGGTTAAGGTTGACAGGTTCAGGGTTTAAGATTGAAGCATGTAAACCTGAGCCGGCGATTGAACCTAAGCCCTTACCTTTAAACCCTATAGAGTTGGGTTTAAGGAGTTAGGGTTTAAGGCGCAATCCCATATAGTATACATACACTTATGAGCAGAAAAGACACGGGGGGACACTGCTTGCGATTCAGAATATTCGGAGCAGAAAAGACACAGGGGACACTGCGTGCGAATCAGAATTTTAGGAGCAGAAAAGATGCGGTCGAGGTACCTCGGCAGGAGCACCATTAAACCATTAAACCATTAAACCATTAAACCATTAAACCATTAAACCATTAAACCATTAAACCATTAAACCATTAAGCCATTAAACCATTAAGCCAATGAACCATTAAACTATTAAACCATTAAACCAGTAAACCATTAAACCAGTAAACCAGTAAACCATTAAACCATTAAACCATTAAACCATTAAACCATTAAACCATTAAAGCAATGGTTGCCCCCCCCTTGAAAATGGTTGAATGGTTAAGGGGATTCTCATATGGGGGAAACCAATGGTTTCATGGTTTAATGATTTATGGTTTAATGGTTTAATGGTTTAGTGGTTTAGGGGATTTTCATAAGGGGGAAACCATTGGTTTAATGGTTTAATGGTTTAATAGTTTAATGGTTTAATGGTTTAACGGTTTAGGGGTTTTTCATAAGGTGGAAACCATTGGTTTAATGGTTTAATGGTTTAATGGTTTAATGGTTTAATGGTTTAATGGTTTAATGGTTTAATGTTTTTGGGGATTTTCATAAGGGGGAAACCATTGGTTTAATGGTTTAATGGTTTAATGGTTTAATGGTTCTAGGGGTTTTCGTATGCGGAAACCATTGGTTGAATGGTTAAATAGGGAATGTGCAAAAAACACAGGGGAACGCTGACCCATATATATATATATATGCTCACCCCCCCCCAATGGACCAACCGCGCAATGGAAAAGAAGTCCAAAAATCCAAAAACCCAAACTTCCCCGGACAATCTCCCAGGAAACTTTTGATTTATGGATTTTTGGATTTTGTGTTTTTTTATGCATGTTTATGCTTTTTGTGCTTTTTCGTGCTTTTTTTGTACTTTTTGCACTTTTTTTTGCACTTTTTTGCACTTTTTGCACTTTTTTTGCACTTTTGTCTAATTTCACAACATTTTTGCAAATATTTGTCCTCTTGAATGTGCTTTTCCAATCCAAAAATCCAAAAACCCAAAAATCCAAAAATCCAAAGTTCTCCAGACAATCTCCCAGGAAACTTTGGATTTTTGGATTTTTGGATTTTTGGATTTTTGGATTTTTGGATTTTTGGATTTTTGGTTTTTTGGATTTTTGGATTTTTGGATTTTTGGATTTTTGGATTTTTGGATTTTTGGATTTTTGGATTTTTGGATTTTTGGGTTTTTGGATTCTGAAGATTTTTCACATTCGAGGTTCTGAATTTTTTGACTTATAAGAGGGCGGCCATTCACATGTACCCTTGTCAGAATTTCAAAAACATCCAAACGACTCAAAACGTGAATGAAAAATCCCAAGTAGCCTGCTCAAAGAGCCAATAAGATGTTGAAGTATCCTGCTCAAAAAGCGATTAGAAGCGTTCAAGAAAGTAGTAGGGCTTAGGTCCAGTCTCTGGCTGGTGAACTACTTGGAATCCTGTTCAAAAAACTAAAGCACTCGTATCACAAAGTAAGGGCTTTCATAAGAGATAACCTTTTCTAAACAGTAGGTGCTAGGATCCCAGAATGGTTCTTATTGAAGAAATGATAATTCAGCTTCTTTCAGATGCACAAAATTAGATATTGGCAAATATAGGCTTTCTTTGTTAAAGCCTCCTTAGCAAAGGCCTGTGCATAACACATGTACGTGTTTTTCTCAGTGATTTGAAAAACTAAGACTTTACATGGTTCTCATATACGGAAACAGTATAATCAAAACCTTCTAGAATATGCTATTTAATTCCATTTAATATCCTGTGAATTTAGTGTTCACGTTTCGAGTAGGACGCCATTGAAACTCTGATACTTATATACACGAGATACTTACAGGGGCTCCATATGCAAGAATATAAAATAAGAGTTCAACCGAACCTCATAGTATCCTCATAGCATGAAATGCGCGCCCTGGAAATGAATGCACACTTCACTTCCATACAGGAAGTCCCGACCCTCGAGTGGACAGTGCACTAGCCGTATTTTGGGCCTAAGCCCTATTACTGTCTTGAACGCTTCTGTTCAGCCTCTTGTTGGCTGTTTGAGTAGGATATTTCGAAATCTCGTTGGTGTTGTGAGCAGGCTACGTAGGATTTTAACGATACAGTCTTCAATCGAGTACTTAGTTAAGACGTTAATCAGATTCGAGCAGGGTTTACTGCAATAATCAAAGGTGGGCAACTCAATATTAAGAGCCTGAATTAAAGGACCAGAAAACAAAAACACTCGTTATCGCAAAGTCAGGGTGTTCATGACATATAACCTTTCTTAAACAGCAGGTACTAGGATCCCAGAATGGTTGTTCTTGGAAAAAATGATAATTCAGCTTCTTTTAAAAGTAGATATTGACAAACATGGGCTTTCTCTGCTAAAGCCTGCTTAGCAAAGCCCTGTGCATAACACACGTACGTGTTTACCTCAGTGATTTGAAAAGTAAGACTTGACATGGTTCTCAAATTCAGAAACTGTATAATCAAAACCATCTAGGATATGCCATTTAATGATATCCTGTGAATTTAGTGCTTAAATGGCCGCCCTCTTATAAGTCAAAAGAAAGGAGAACCTCGAATGTGAAAAATCTTCAAAATCCAAAAACCCAAAAACCCAAAAATCCAAAAATCCAAAAATCCAAAAATCCAAAAATCCAAAAATCCAAAAACCCAAAAATCCAAAAATCCAAAGTTTCCTAGGAGATTGTCTGGAGAACTTTGGATTTTTGGGTTTTTGGATTTTTGGGTTTTTGGATTTTTGGATTTTTGAATTTTTGGGTTTTTGGATTTTTGGATTGGAAAAGCACATTCAAGAGGACAAATATTTGCAAAAATGTTGTGAAACTAGACAAAAGTGCAAAAAAGTGCAAAAAGTGCAAAAAAGTGCAAAAAGTGCAACAAAAAGCAGAAAAAAACACAAAAAAACACATAACACACAAAAATGCACGACAAAAAGCACAAAAAAAGCACAGGAAGCACAAAAGCATAAAGAAGTAGACAGGGAAAGCATGGCAGGCTGCAGTGTCTCGAGAACCTTATACATGCCGATGTGGGTCCATTGGGGTTGGAGGTTGGTCCATTGGGGGGGGGGCGACCATATATATATATATGTATATATATATATGTATATATATATATATATTTGCATGTGATTCTGGGTTGGCCCCACCCTTCCTTTCCCCGCCCCTTCCTGCTATGTTGGGGGCCTTGGTTTAGCCTTAACGTTCACAGTCCCGCCCCCTCCTTTGTGGTGTGGTGGTGGGTGTTTAAGGTTAGGGGTTAATTTTCGCACTGCGCGATCCGCCTCGGCCGGGGCCTGCGCAGTGGGGAGGCGTTTGTTAGCGAGAGGACATGCAGGCCATGTACAGAGAAAGCTGGATCAGGGGGCACTGTCGTGTGGGGCTGGAGTTAAAACCGGAAGCGCGGGGCGGGGGAGGAGCGCCTGTGGTCGAGCCCAAACTGCCCCCTGGTTGGTGAACGTGTGTTTTCGCGCATCGGGTTTAGCCTAGGGCTTTAGCATCTTTGGGTTCTAGGGTCTCGGGGTTAGGGGGTGGCATCCTGGTAACTGTCGGCGCTTTTTGAACTTGAGGCAGGTACGACATCCCAAAAGTGACGACATGACGAGGATAGGGAGCGGTGGATAGCATGAGCATGGGGGGGGGGGGGGGGGGGGGGTAGGGCAGGCCTGGAAAGGCATAATTAATATGCAGATATACATACATATATGCATAGTAAAATGTGTACACACTCATATATGCATAGATACTAATATGTTTAAATGCATACATTTCTGTTTGTGGTTTATGAGTGCTTTTCTTGCACCAGGTCAGGGCATCCCTCTCGAGGATCATGGACGCGTGCAGTTAATGCCACTGGTCCTGAAAAGCCGTGAGACTATGTAACGTTTTCAATTTCACGTTGCTTTCGTTCAAGCTGTGTTTCTATATCAGCATGTGCTTGAGGTGGACGATGATCACTGACTATTGTGAGATGTTCAAGAACACCATCCGCCGCGTCATGCAGACAGTTCTTGACAGCCCAAAACGTTGACTTGTCTGGCAACCAAGGTGGGAAGTATGATCGGAAGCTTCAGCGCTACATGTTCAACTTGCCTGCTACTGAGCACATGCCAATGGTGCCGCTGCTTGCCATCATGTGCCACCAATGACCGTACTTCTTAGATTTTGCAAGGCAGGGGGGCGACAGCAGCTCCATGTCAGGTGGAGCCCATGTGTCAACGTCTCAAACATTGGCTTTGAGATTCTATTGATGCATAGATCGGTGTGCAGCTTTCCTGAGCTTTGTTTCGTTCCGGCAACTTGCAGCTCTGAGATCTTTGAGCAGTCTTAGGCGTCAGGTCATGAATGACTTTCTCGTTGCAGCCTTAAGCCTTTAGGTCAGCGTCTCGTGCAAGATCTACATCAATTCACATCAAGTGCTAGAATGGTTGTTCGATGTGCCCTAAGGCCGACTACTTGGATGTCCCAATGACAGCAGAAATGACTGATGATGACATCGACCGTGCCATCCGAATGCACGAGGGCCAAGGCCTCAAGTCGAGTCTCAAAGCATATTTCTTGCCTTGCACGAACATTCTTCCAGAATGTCTGACACCCAGGTGACTCGCTTCCAGGATTTCCTTCCCCAGACACCTTCGAGTACCTCGCATTGTGCGGTGCTCACATGGTTCCATGTCGGTACCTGGCATGCTTGGTACTTCCTAGACTTCGTAGACGTCGTAGACTTCGTAGAACGTAGACGTCCTTGTAAGAATCGACTTCGTCTTCTTCGTATGCTTAGTATGCTTCGTGACCTTCGCATGCTTCGCATGCTTCGCGTGTTTTTCTGCTGCGTATGCTGCATATACTACGTTTGCTTCGCATGTTGTGCATTGATCGTGTGCTTCGTATGCTCCGTATGCCCCGTATAAGTCGCATTCGTTTTCTTATGGGGTTTAGAGTTTAGGGTTTGCTGTGATATAGCGCAGAAGTTTTCAAGGTTGGGATGCAGAGTGGCCTAGAAGGCTTCGGAAACTGCGAAGGGAACCGTCTAACTGGGCCAAGCCACCCTAACTTATCCTTCTCTGGGTTTGGCATAAGCTTGTATTATGTGCATGGCAACTCGAACGGCTCAAGAGGTGGCTCTCAGCTTCCCAGAAAACTCCAGCAGGGGGGCAAGGGGGGTCCCAAGTGCCTCGGGGGTGGAAACTTCGTACGCTACGTACATTTCGTATATCTGATTTATGTTGCATTTTGTTTCTTTCGTTTCTTTCTTATGCTTCTTTTACGTTGTGTGATTGCAAGTCAAGGCCGCACTTACAGAAGATCTCCATTCCTGCGGTGGAGTTCTGCGCCAAGCCTTCTGAGCCTTCCGATCCTTCCGAGCTTTTTTGCATGCGCGGTTTCACGCCTTGCCATTTCTTAGTGTCTGAACCCAGGTGTGTGCACAACGTTGCTTCGGCTCTGGACGCGGTGGGCCCAGTCATGCTTCGGAGAATGTGCATCAGCAGAGCCATTCCAAATCTTCAGGTGAGCTTCCGTTGAGGGAGTGCTGGGATTCCTTTTTGGGACTTGATCTTGCCTATCATCGTATGGTGGCATTGAAGTGCTTACTTAGCACAGCATGGTTGGAATCATCGCAGACCTTGGCTCTCAAGCGTACACTTGGGTACCCTTTGCTTGCCAGCAGTTGCAGAGGTAGTCACGACGACTGAGGTGTTGTCCCAGCGCATGGCCCAGTCCGTTTTCCGCCGTTTCCCAAAACTGGCTGAGGCACGCAAAGACCATGGACCACTAGTGTCACTAGAGCATCTCGGACCCCGTTGTTTGTGTCGAATTTACATGCCTCCATGACACAGAGTTTGTGCAACGGTAGGTCACATCATTTCTTCAGACATGCCTGTGCCGAAATGCACGCGTGTGGCATGCATGTCGCAGCAGGTCTGTTTGGAGATGACAGCAAACATCATCCAGGAGCAGAAGGACAAGACACGCATTGTGGTGGAGCAGCAGGCTCCTGGCATGGAAGACGCCTCACGTGTCATGATGTCATTGCTGCCTTGGCCAAGCCGGCAAAGCTTGATGAAAGCCTGAAATACCCCTCGTCCTCTGAGGACTCTGCATGGAGCAATTGAGTAGCCCTTTGCTGTAGCCCCTCGCTGTAGTCCTTTGCTTCTTTGATTCGAGAAATTCCTGAGATCAAGATGATGCAAGGTCGCCTGCAGCGTCGGCTACCTCTTCACAAACGATCCGCGCGTGCCCCAAGAATCATGTTTGCTAGTGCTTTGATTCTAGGCAGCTCTCGGACACTGCCGCACTTGTGGCACACAGGCTGCGCACCTTCTGCGCACGTGCCGCGCACCAGAGAGTGCACATGTTCCCAGAGCTAGGTCTTACTTGACAGAACATGGCTCCATGGAACCAATGTACGAAGACAAGGAGACTCTGGAGTTGCTCTGCCAAAAGGTTCAGCATCTTTCGAACGGCCCCTTCTCTCGTGTCTACTCCATTGAGTCCCCCAGGAGCAGAAGAGGCAGCCACCACCACCGGAGGAAGAGAAGAAGGACAACAAAGGGCCTTCACAAGTGGCCCCACGCAAAGTGTTGCAACATGCCGCAACACTTGAGCTTGCTGAGGACCCTACCTTCGGTGAGAAAACTGTGCAGCAGATCAAGGCCCAAGTTCCGAGTGCGTGGATCTGGGATCCAATGTGCCCCTAAGATTCTTCGTTCTGTGCATCTTGTGTTGGATACGGCTTTTGCTCACCATGGGCACAAGAATTTGTGTGAGGACAATTCCAGTGCTGCGTACCAGAAGATGAACACGGTATTCGGCTTGTCACTCAGGGCGTTTCTCAACTTAAATTCTTTGTGTCCCGACTTTGGCTCCCCCAGACCCAGACATAGCAAGTGACACTGTGAACTCGGTCTCGTTTTGCAGGGCCTGCACAGTGCCTGCACCCGACCCTCGAATGTAAGTTTGCAAGCATGCAGCCGGCAACGGCCTCCTAGGTGGACAGAAGCAGGCAGACAAAAAGAACCACCGATACAGCGGGCCTTTTGTCAAGGAGACGTGAAAGAGTCGAAGAATGTGAAGATGTTGGAGATGTTTCAAAGAGTTTCCATCTTCTGAAAGTTCGCTTCGCCAGGAGATCCGGAAGCGGTTGGACTCATACCTGGCCATCACAGTGCGGCCCAAGGAACTAAACGCTGATGTTAAAAAAGAGAAGCTGTGGTAGGGGTGGGGGGGGAACATGCTTGACGTTTGATTTTTGTGTCGACTTTTGAGGTGCGCAACGTCCGCGACGCAGTGCCGAAGGCGATTGGCTTCTATCTCGTCAGGGCGGTGGCTTGGAGAAATCGTACGGGTGTTGAGAGCCATGCTGAGCGGTCTGCAGACTTTTGTGAGAGTGTAAGGTGCAGGACAAGCTGCAGTTTGAGCTGCTGAACGCGCTGAACCAGAAGGATTGCGTGACAGTGACATGTTCTCGCACTGTTCTCACAGTGTTCTCCCAGTTCTCACAGTGTTCGCATGTCATGCCATAGCCTTCAGGATAAGATCTCTGAGCTCCTTGGCGAGCCGTCACTCAGACAGCAATGGAGGGCTTTGTGACTTGGGCCACTTGGGCCACTTGGGCCACTTGGGCCACTTGGGCCACTTGGGCCACTTGGGCCACTTGGGCCACTTGGGCCACTTGGGCCACTTGGGCCACTTGGGCCACTTGGGCCACTTGGGCCACTTGGGCCACTTGGGCCACTAGGCGGAAGTCTAAGGTGTTCTTCCCTTAAACTACGACGCTTTTGCTCTCTTTTCTCAGTACAGCCTCCTCCGCAAAGAACCCCAGCTTGAAAAAGCACCTGAGCCCGAAAGCCCTTTAAGCCTTGCCAGACCCTCTGGAAGCGGCATCTTGTGGCTTGGAAGGGTGGGCACAACAGTGAAGCAAAGCAGATTTTGCCGCGCCGTCCATAAGAGGCCTCACATCCTGGAGGAACGCGGACAGCTCAGTTTTTGAGCACAGGAAGGTGGAAAGGTGAGCTTGCGCAAGACAATGCTAGGCAAGAGCCTTGCCGCTCTGCTTTCCATTCTGCAGCGCGCCAGTTCTGCTGCCCTCTGAGTAGCGGACACAACGAGTCGGGAGGTTTGCACCTGTGCCCATGGTCACTTGTGGCCGATTTGCAATTCAGGTTTTGACACGGGACCCCACGTTGGCAGCCATAGCTTTCGAAGCCGAAGATGAAGAGTGGGCGACTCAGATTGACATCTCCTGACCGTTCCTGGAAGTTTCCAGAAGTTACGAAGTTGCGACGGAGGCCGGTGCCTGCGAGTGACAAAGGCCTGACACGGGAATTGCAATAATGCCTCGCCGGACACAGACGCAATCAATGCTTCTGAGTACTTTCTCGTGCTACTTCTTCTTGTCGCATCACAGGCCCAAAGCTGACATGCAAGAATGTGACACAATTTCAGCATGTAGAACTTGTTGGCACCACTTTGAGTTCCCCAAGACGCCCATGCGACTAACTTCACCTAGTCACCCAGATGCCCACACTTGCTCTCTTGAAGGAGGATATCCGGCACAGCAGCGCACCGTGCCGACGGCTCAAGCACCCCCAGCAAGTGCACAAACCCAGGCCGTGAGCTTTGCGATGGCTTCTCAGTGTGTCTTGCAATTCTTCCCAATGCTTCTCAAGACTTCGTGTTGTTGCCAGGCGCCTGCCAGACCAGCTCCGGTTGTGAGTGCACCACCTGTGGGGTTTCTCAGAACTGAGTCACAGTCCTCTAGAGTGATTTAGAGTTTGGAGTCTGGTGGGAGCGGCCTCCGACATCTGGGAAGCCAAGCGGCATCAGGTGGCAGCTCGTCCTGGAGGCCACGGCCACTACACGGCATGAGCACTTAGATGCACTGCCGCACTTCAACTTGAGTCACTGAGTTGACCGTGTCCCATGTTGGCTGGATTTCACAGGATCAGCTCTTTTTCCTGGTGCTGGTGCTGCCAAGCGCCATGCCCAGCCGACGGTCGACTGATGACTCTTCGAGTGCCTTTCGTATCCATGCTCACAAAGATGTTCAATATTCAAAGTGATGCATCGAAGGTCTGGGCTGTTCGATGAAACTCCGTCCGCTGCACCAAAGAAGGCATGCCTATCGGGTGCTGACGGGTCCAGAGTGTTTTCAACTGGACATGTCATGGATAGGAGAAGATTCTAAGATGGTTAGATTGCTAGGACATGTGCATCTCTCAGACAAATCAGGTTTGCGACGTTTCGCAGTCTCTTGAGGCTGGTCCAACAACGAGGAACCCCCTCTTCGATTCTTGAGACGGGAAGATGTACAGTTGTCTGGGACTGGGAAGTAGATGCAGCTGTCGGCATGTCAGCATGCCGACGGCTCGCCGCGTGTCACGGCAAATTCGGAGTATGCCTCTGCAATGCCTTTGCAACGCACAGAGCTTTCCAGCAGGATGCGTCGAACCATGTCGAACTCCTAGGACGAAGTGGCACCAGGCTCACAGCAGTCAAAGGCCCTGGCATGACGTTGTTGCCTCATCTAACGGCAAATTGAAGACTACTGACCAGATCGTGCAACGATTCGAGCCGTTCGTCTTGAGGGGAAGGCAGTAAATCCTGGTGGCTGTAAATGCATCCGCTCGTTGAGCTTGTGAGTCTTTCCAGAGCAAATAGACGACTCAAAGCCTCACAGGCCTGCGGCGACCATTGGGCGGGCAGTCGTTTTGCAGCTAGATGCTGCCCAGTGCCTCGATTTACCAAAAAAGGACCTGCGCGGTAATTCGACTTTTGCGATGGAGCAGTGCAAGTTGCGTTGGCTGGTCCAGCTCAGATCCGGTGCACACACTCTGCAGCGATGCAAGGGTTTATCAGCAAGGCTGTCTCCCGTTTCCTTGCGCTTTTTCCAGGCGGCAGGCGTCCAGCTCAAGAAACACACTAGCCATAGGGCCATAGTCCCGAGGCTTTGGTGTGGTCCTCAGCTGCCACTCAGAATAAGAATGCCTCCGATGTGAAGCCAACTCTCAACTCTGCTGAACATAATTCCCATCAATTGAGCTGTAGTATGATAGCAAGCATGACACTTCAGAGTTGAATTTGAGCTGCTGACTCGGCAAGTTAGACGCTTTTGCTCTTGTTGAATGCTGTGGCTCGAGTGTGACAGTAAGTTTGAGCCTGAACAGTGGCGACGCAGAGCGTGCCCTGACATGGGCGCCTCAGACATCTCTTCGGACTGGAACCTGCAAGGTGGATGTGTATTCTTTTAAAGTTGGCTTCTTCTGCGATTTGCGCAGAGACGATTGAAGAGCACCCTCGGAATCTCGACACTGGCGTCCGGGGAGTGCGGTGACACTTCTCCAGTGGTGGCTTTCCTCCTGGCGCTTCACTTCCTAGGTCCACAGCAGAGAACCATGTAATGTAATGGAGATCGAAGGTGCAGTTCAAGGACGCTGTGATGCTCGTTTGGGTTTAGCTCGTTGTGGAGACCGCTTTCTGGCTGCCTTGATCTCGTGTTTCCTGGTAAACATCAGAATCACAGGAATTGCATGATGCTCAGGGCAAGACTGACATTCCTGAAGTTCCAGCACTAGCAAGAAAGCCGAGACTTGCGACGGCAGCGACTTGGTCGGAGCCACGTCATGTGTTGAAGGTGTGCAAGGGTTCTGTCCGTTTGCAGTTGTTTCAGGCCCGATGGTTCTCTTGCTTTACCAAATTGTACTGGAAGTCGGTTCTGTGCTTCTTGAGGTGCTACGCAAGCGGGCTTTGGAGGGCACGGCTTGGAGCCTACTGCGCAGACTCTGTGACGAAGAGATGGAAGCAGATGTGATTCTTGGACTGAGCTATTCTTTGGTGTCGCATGCTGAGAACGTCGTCTCGTGTGCCTGCTGCAGATATGTAAGATTTTGTTTAAAGATGCTCAAATGTCTGAGGGTTCATTTCTCGTGCATCATTACACCGGATTGGTGCCAAGCTCTGTGGCTGCGCACGGCCCTGGCGGCCTCGGCCATTGCGCCAAACGCAGAAGCCTTAGCTGTGCACCGGGCTGTGACGGCAGTGACGGCATCATTGATCCGTTTTGAACGCTGACGAAAAGACTGTTTAAGGTGATATTGGAAACACGCCTGGTGACCTCTTGCGCACATGCTAACTGGTTGGCTGCGGTGCAGCTGCTCCGTGAGGCCGAGTCTATTCAGCGCGAGCCTTGGCAGATTGACAGAAGATTTGACAATTGTCGACAACAACAGGTTTGAGAAACACAAAGTGTCGGAAGAGACTCCGCGAATGCAGCACTTTGTGAGATACGCTATGCGGTGACGCTGTGACTTAAGGATGCTGTGCTCCTGAATTCTGCCATGACAGCCCTAGAGGGCCGCTGGTGGCAAGCGTTGGCACATCTGCCGCTCAGACATCGGATTAACATGCTGCTGTGCTCACAAGTTCATGCATCTCTTTTCTCTTTTCTCTTGCACCAGGCAGACCAGTGCAGCGTTGTCCTGCACACCTGATGCAGTGGCCTTGAACACAGCCATAAGTTCCTGCGCCTTGTCTGTTTGCTTAGTTCATGGACTGTTTGTGCTTTTGCCAGATGGTCCATGGTGACACAACAAATGACATCGGCGCATGTGCCAGAGGTCATGCTCGAGGTGTTTGGACTCTGGCCTTGCATCTGCTTGGAGGCCGTCTGTACAGCTGTATGCTCCGGTATGCTCCGAGCACTGCGTTCAAGAAATCACACACTTCGCAACAGACCTGAGACACTCCAGTCACGTTCCGAACAGTCTCGACATTGCAGTCTCTGGGAATCTTGTGGACCTCATTACCCTCTCTGGGGCCATTGCTTCAGCGCAGTGGCTTCTGGCAGTGTGCCTTCTGAGCCTTTTGGGATGAAATTGGCAAAGCCCGTGTGAGTAGTTGTGAATGTTCTGATTTAGGCTCGGCCGGTGAGGCATCTGTGCCCATGTTGCCGGCAAGGTGAGATGAGTCCAGCGGAACTGATCCCCAATACTATCTGCCTGCTGCTAAGTCGTCAACAGATTTTCTTAGAAGTTGTATACGTTGTATTGCGTTGCAGTTTTACATTGAGTTGCACATGCTGACATTGAGTTGCGCCTTTGAGCACGCACTCGAGGCTCTCGGTTCAGAGAAGCTCCTAGGGACTCTGACTATCCCTGACTGTTCTGTGGGGTCCCAGCAGGGATGGCGCACTGGTACTCTGTATTGGGACGACGTGAATGGACCGATTCGTCGCGGGATCTCGAGCCCGGAAGAGAGACACAAAACGTACAACATGGACGCCCTCGCGGCCCTCGCTTTGAGCCCACCATTCGTCAGCGCATCGCCCGGGCGTAAAGAAGAGGAATGAACAAGGATCCTGACCCGCAGGATGAGGAGCGGTGAAATTGCAACCTGTGCATTGCCGGCCTTGCATGTGGTACTCCACAGACTTGATGGTGGCTTGGTGTTGTGTTCCACGGAATGGAGAAGGCTATTGCATTCGTTGCCAGAAGCCGACGTGGTCAAGGGGCATGGGGGTAACGGGAGGGAGGGGGTGGGGCGGCGGGCAGGGGGCAGGGGGGGTGCAGAGAAAAACAAAGTCGGGAAGGACGATTGGAAGACGAATCAGGGAATGAGTTCAATCATGTCGTGGCGGAGCTCGTTGGGGTGGGGTCTAGGGGAAAACAACCGATTTTTGGTGACCCGCCCCTATGGGGCACGGTCAACTCCCATATCCTGCTCGGCAGGCGGGGTACCCATTCCTGGCACAAAAAACGGGGCGTTCCTCAAACGCCTACAGCCCGAGGCAACGGCAGATTTCATGCATGTTCCCGCATAGGCTTCAACGCAGCCTTGCGAGTGGCTTGGCTGCAGGAGGATGCAACTTCTTGGGTGCCGGCAATGTTTGATACTGCTGGTTTGCAAAGGCTTTTGAGGCACCGGGCCTTTGGCGACGAGCAGCGGGGCTGCTGAAGTCCATGCGGCCCTTCATGGTGCTTCCAGTGCCTCGGGCAGGTGAGCAGCGCTCTTTCGGCCATCGGCACGTTCAGCGAAGCTGAGGACGTCGTCAGCTTTACATCGTTGCTTCGAGCCTGTGAGAAAGATGGTCGATGGCGCTTGGCGCTGTCCCTGCTGCCCGTCATGCGCCAGGTATCCTAGCTGCGGTGAGCTTCAGTTGCAACCACTGCCAGAGCCATCTCGTTGTTTTGTCCCAGCTTCCAGCCGACGATTGCCGACGGGCTAACTGAGTGAGGATCCTTCCCTGCATGAGTCCACCTCGTGCTGTTGTGCCATCACATTGTTTCCATCACTGCTCAGATGTCCTTGTCTGCTTGGACCTTTCGGGTTGCTGCTGATCCATGCTGCTGCTTGCGCCGTTTTGTTATTTGCAAGAGATGTTCCTTGGCCTGTGCTGTACAGCTCAAGAAAACATGTTCAAGAGGACAGTTGAAGAAGGAGAGGTGCGTGCTTCAGGTAACAATCCTGCCCAATGCCGTGACATATGGATGCATCCTCAACGCTTGCGAATTTGCTGGCGCATGGCGAACAGCTCTCTTGCTACTGAGCGAGATGGTTTCAATGAAGACCCTTGTAAAAATTGGAGAGTATTTTCCTTCACAAGGTCTGTCACCCCTTCGATTCTTGTAAAATCTGATGCGCAGGCAACTGCTCAACAATGTCATCTGCAACACCATCATCAGCACTTGCGAGAAAGCGTGCCAATGGCAGTCAGCATTGGCCTTCCTGTCCGAGATGCGGCGATTTCAGGTGCAACAGTGTCGCAAAGCAATGCGGTTGAGTGTCAAGTCGGAAGCTGGCAGTTTTAAAGCAGTCATACTGCCAGGTGAGACTGGATGTGGTTGGCATCAATGCATCGTTGAGAGCATGCGGTTCTGGGGATGCTTGGTCGTTTGGCATGCGCTATGTCACTATGGGCGTTGGCACTCCCTGCCCTGACAGCAGGTCACATTGCAAATCGCTGCAAGTCGCTGCTGTTTGGCAGCTGAGGCCCTGGTCACTTGAGCTCCTCCGCCAGATCGATATACGGGGTCGCACGAACGTAAGCTTCGCAGGCTCGGCGCCGCACACTGCCTGAGATGGATGTGGAGCCTGAAGCTGCGTTGTCTAAACCCGGAAGGCGCAGTGGCTGCCTGTGCTGTCGCCAACAAGTGGGCATGGTCGCTGCGCCTGCTTCTGGCCATGCTGGAAGATGCGTTGGTTCCCGACGTGAATAGCTTTCCGGTCTGAACAGATTGTGAAGTGTACTGGTTTCTAAGACAGATTCCACAACCCTTGCTGGCGATAGGTGGGTGCAGAGGTTTCACGACGTGTCGTTCTGGACAGAGTCCAGTGATGTCCAGTATCAGTGGATGTCAGTGGACCTTTCTATGTTCTTTTCCCTTTTCTTGCCTTGCAGCTGCCACTTCAAGGCTTTGGTGATGTCGCGGAAGTTTGCGGCAGACTGGGGTTTGACATCTGGTCTGTCACAGTTCTCGACAAGCTGCAGACAATGCAAGAAAAGCTCCTCTACGAAGCCAGCAAAACGCTTCACGCAGAAGTGACATGGGAAGTGATGCGCAAGTAACACTTGCGGTGGGAGCCTTCGCAGTGAGGCTGATTGCTTACAGCCTTAGAACAGCCACTTGCACATCGGTCGCGTGACCTTGGATGCAGTCTTTGCATCAAGTCTGTTCTGGCAGGTTTTGTGTTTTTGCAGTAAAGCTTTCTGACAGATGTACTGCCGTGGATCTGCTTGGATGCTCATCATCTGTCTACAGCCTTCAGCCATTGGTAGAGTTGGCTGCTTCTTCCGATCTTGGGAGCTTCAGTTGAAAAAGTGTGAAACCATGCCACCAGAACCAGGCCCGGGCACCTGGGCAAGGCAAACAGGTGTAGCGCCTCTTCCATCTCATCTGCCTGGCATGGCTACGTGAGCTAAACTAGAATCCAGTCTCGCATTTGCACACATGTTGCTTGGTGTGCATGGGCGCCTGTTTGTGTACTGCTAGCCTTCTCTGCCACCAGACTACGCGCTCCAGCACGCGTACTCCTCGAGTGCCATGCTGCCATCTTCTTGAGAATGCGTTGCAATGCGTCCAAAAGTTGTCTTCGCGACAATGACTGGAAATTGCAACTGAAGCCTGCCTGCGAGAGGAGATCTGACAGACATGTTGTCATTCATGGACTAACTACGAGTGATCCATAAGTATAGCAAGGGTTCAGGAGTCACGTTTGTGCCGCGTGTCAAGATGACTAGTCAGCCTGAATTCGAAGCAGATCGGGGCAAGCAAGGACACAGCTCTTGACGGTGGGGCCTTCACCTGGTCTTTCACAGGCCCTGCAACACACTGCTACATGTCTGCAGATCTGTCAAGGAGCAGAGGTGCAGTATGTGGCGTCTTCATCACGAAAACCTTCCGCGCCCCCGAAGGGTCGTAACGGTAGGGAGGAGGAGGAGGAGGAGCAGGAAGAGGAGGAGGAGGAGGAGGAGGAGGAGGAGGAGGAGGAGGAGGAGGAGGAGGAGGAGGAGGAGGAGGAGGAGGAGAGAACTTTCAATTATCAATTGGAGTCGCGGTCTCCTGGCCGCGGGGCGCTCCTCAATAGGTAGTGACAATCTGGAAAGCCCATGGCGACCTGGTAGAGGTTGTCGGCAATAGGGCATTCATCAGGGGCGGCAGGGGCCGGCTCGGCCCTTGTCGATGGAGCTTTCCATGCGACGGAGAACTCTGCAAGACGATATCCAGACCGCGTGTTGAAGTCTTCGATCCTTCTCTCGTGCAGCACTCTCGTGCAGCACTCTCGTGCAGCTTCGGGCGTGCGCAACATGTAAATGTACATGCAACTTTTTGATTCTGGTGTAGCACACAAACCTTCCGTAATCTTGCACGCATCATCCTCACCACCGTGCAGGTCCAGGCGTTTCTTGGGACAGGGGCATCCTTGCATCGTTGGAACTCCGAGCCGCGACTGGCCACGGCAGTGCTGAACGGATTGGCCAAGGCCGACTGTCTGGAGACATTTAGAACATGTACCTTTAGGGTGCTCAAGCACTGAATGCTTCAACAGACCACAGAGTGGGCAGTGCGGATTGTGCGGAATGCAAGTTTGTTTCAAGCTACGACGCAAAATTGCCATGTTGTCAGTGCATTGACGTTGATGCTAGGCTCATCGCGCGGATGTTGCGATGAGTGTACTGCAGGCACGGTTTGACAGAAGCAGACACCGGGCGTGCCATCATTCCACATGGTTTCTGTCATGGAGCTAGGTGATGCGCTGTTGCATGGTATCTTGGAGGCAATTCAGCAACACTTGTGTGATGCTTTAGGCGACCCAGCTCTTTGAAGCGACGCCCACATTAGACCAAGGTCAGAACCAACGCTTTTCACTTCGGCTCTGCCATTGCTGCTTGTGAGAAGGGGAAAGCGTGGCCGTGGGCTGTAAACTTGCTTCGCTTCATGTCCCAGGCCCCCTGGACAGTTGCAAAATAGGGTTTATCGCAAGACAGGCTACATCTGACTGTGCAGAGTGATGAAAGGTCGACGTCCGCCCAAATGAGGTGACCTGCAACAGAATCTTAGATGATCTGGTCAGCCGCTTCCACGCATCACGCTCATTATGCAATTTCAGGTGCTGTGGGGGCTTGTGGCTCTTGCTGGACATTGGCACTGGACCTGCTCGATGCGACTCTTTGCCTTGTGTTTGAGCCTAGTGGGGAAGATGTGGCGCGCATTGACTGTGCACGAGCTTGCCAAGGATGCGTGTGGCTCCAGGTGTGACGACTTGCAGCAGCACCAGTTTTCTGGAACTACGAGCGTTAATGTTTTTAGCTGGACAAGCTTGGCCTGACCAAATAAAGGTACACTGATGAAGCAGGTTTCCTGTGTATCCAAGGCTTCAACGTCTGCATGAGTGCCTGCTCGAAAGCGTGGCGAGTGGCAGTCAACTTTCTCAGGCAAAAAGCACCTGGATATTGACCAGTACAACAGTGTTATCCATGTAGTCAGTAGCAATTTCGTGATGACCCCGTTCCACGATCGCGTGATACCCTCTGAAAGAGAAAGTTTCCATCCAATTTTACTGAATCCTCGGCCGTATTCCGTGCTCGACGCCACGATGGACAAAGACAAACATTGCACAGGAAGTGATCGTCTAGAGCCGCATGATGCGGCATGACGCCGCATGACGCCACATGACGCCACATGAAAGTCCCCTCCCCACACAAAGTCATGCACTCTTCTGTACACATGCAAACAGACAAATACAAGCCATGCAGGAGATAGGCGAGCACAGCCATACAAGGGAGCACACTGCCTCTGGTCCCAGGTGGCACCACGTTGCGCACGGAACAGTTGCAATCATCCCTCCAATTGACTTTCCATTCCTGGGCAGCGAAATGGCAAGCAAAGAGGGCTGTTGCCTCACTCCCCATAGGAATGGCCAGAGGGCCGTCACTTCGTCGTTTTTTAGGTCGTTTTCCATGTTCATTCCTCGGCGCAGCCGCTCGCTAAGTCGCATGAGCAGCTAAACCAGTGTCCCGATAGGTCAATGGCAGAAGAAGCGGTGCTGCCAAATGTGACCAGCTACAGCATATCGATCATGGCAGCTCGCTCCAAACTTTCTGGCATTCAAGATACGAGAAGTGGTTGGCACGGGTCGTGGCTCAGGTTAGCCCATGGCATCTTGCTTTCCATCTTCTCGGCAACTCACCAACGATTGATGTCATTGCCTTCAGTGCAGCCCTGCTAGCCTTGGGCGGGAGCCGCACATGCACTTAAGGAGAATGTGAGCGGGAGTCACATGCGGCCACCTTGGAACTCGGGGACGTAGACTCCTCAGACTTTTTGAGAGTTTTCCCAAGGAAATTACCTTCAATTGGCTCGTGGCCTGGCTTTGCTCCGGAGACCCCAACTCTGGCTCAGTGGCCTCGGGCTTTGGTTCTCTTCGCTCAGCTGGGCTTGCTGGGGCTAAGAGCCGACCAAGCCTTCATGCACCAGCTCGCCAGCATCAACCGTGGAAGCCGTGGAAACCGAAGGCGCGCACACCTTACGGCCCCACCTTACGGCCCCACCTTACGGCCCTCACTTGTGGAACTGGGTCATATCAGGAGCTTGAAGAGTATTGCATGGTCAACCTGCAAGTCCAGATTGTATGCCGCACACTGTGTTTGTTCCCTTCCCGCAAGTTGGCTTCAATGTCCGAGGTTTCTCACTCACAAGTCCCGAGACACCCAAAGCCCCAAAGGACGGAACCATCGCACAGTCGGACAGGCAACATATGTCGCCCAACGTTGTTGAGCGTTGTTGAGCGTTGTTGAGTGTTGCTGCGTGTTGTTGAGTGTTGCTGAGTCTTGGTGCGTGTTTGCATTCGAGCACAACTTTTTGTTCAGGGTTGGCAGCTGGCAGCACGCAGTTCACGCCGTCCACTCCATGACTGCCCTGGCCCTGTTGCAGAACGTGATTAGCTACAACAGCCCCTTTGCGGCAATGAAGACCTCGCTTCCATGTCAATGTGATGTTGGTTGGGGTTTTCGCCAGGGGACTGAAGGTTCAATCGCAGCCTATGGGCGCGGAGGACATTGCAAGCTGGCAGCCATGCTGCTCCGGCAGATGATGGAGGCGTTGAGGGCTGCAATGGGCCGCATGTGTGTTGGTATCTCAAGGCTTGTCTGCCAGTTGCATGCCTTGGACACGGGGAGGCTCGTATACGATCCAATCTTTTCAGCTACAACAGCGTGATGCTTGCATGCAATACGGCAGTCCAGTGATTTTGGCCAATTCTGTCAAGCCAGTTTACTAGAGAGCAGGAACTGTTGAGAAGACCCAACAATGCGAGCAGCCCTGACAAGCCCAGTCAAAGCCAAAGCCAGAAGCCATTTGAGTGGTCGAAGGAGCTTGTGAGGCAGAGAATGTGCTTGTAAGGAGGCATTCGTCGCAAGATAGGAGATGTTAAAGTCAGCTGCTGACGGAAAGCGAGCTTCACCTTGACTATCTTTCACTGCTTAACCAATCGAAGCCAGAGTCAAGCCCAAAAAGGAACCGGAGATCCGAATCCAAATCCAAAGCCAAAGCCATGCTGGGAAAAGCGAGACCATATGAGACAACACTCAAAGGTGGCCCAATCAAATCCTCATCGAAACCGCAGAGCCACCAATGCTTAGATAAGACTGAGGATGTTTGCCCACCAGGAATGCAACGCCTGGGAGGTATCCATGGGCTTGCTTGCACAGGCCTCGCAGGCGCGGAAGCATCGCGATGTTGGACCTGCTTGAACTGTCAGCCTATCTGAACTCGATAATCATCCCTTTGCACTGAGTCTGGCCAACATGCTCAGGTATCCCTCGCACCCAATGCAGTCAGCTTCACCACAGCTGCTCGCCGCGCTTGGAGCGCAGAGAAGTGGCAGAGCCCCGCGAAGAGCTGAGGTTAGTTGCTGGATGGTGGCATTGGAACTGCTGAAAACTATGCTGCTTGGATCTGATTCCGAACATTGAACATTAGACATGGCAACTTTGCGGGATTCTTGCCGCCATGAGATGCAAATTCTGTCGCGAGAGCACAAGCAGTCTGTATGTGGTCCAGCACCTGAGGCATTGCAGGCAGCTCGAGAAGGATTCCATCAACTGCATTTCTTTTGTAACGAACTGTACTCAGGCGAGAGTTGCAAACAGCCAGCCGCGACAATAGTGGCAATAGCTTTCATATAGCTTGCAGCTTCTTTCAGAGGTCTCTGCTTGGAGGTGGGCTCTGGCATTGTTTCAAGGAGGCAGCAAGACGGCAAGACACAAGACAACGTCCATTGCCATCGATCGTCTTTTGTCGCTGCGTCTGCGCAGCTTTGTTCTTTGTGGTTTAAGGTCCTGTTGTCAGCACTGAGATGTGCGGTGCCATGATCACCGCTTGCGAGAAACAAAGCTGTTGGAGGCCGCAGATTGGCCAAGGGTTCTGACACAGCTGTTGCCTTTCGTTGCCTTGACCGATGGGAGCTCAGGCATGCATTGGCACTGCTCCGTTCGATGCGCAATCCAGACATGATCAGTGTGTTGGCGGCATCAGCAATCGCTCGCCGCCAAGCGTTCTTCACCTGGACTTGATGGGAGACTTCCACCCTGTTGGAAGGCTTTGCCGCCGCTATCGCGGCCTGCTCTCATGCCCTGCGGAAAGCTCACCGGACTCGTGAAGGCTGATGCTCTGTCCGCATGCTGCGCAGCTCTTTGCATCCATTTTGCATAGTTTTTGCACTTTCCAGTCTTACTCTGGATGAGTGGGTTCTGTTATCCGCAGAATGTGGATATCCTGGGCTGTCGATTACAATTAGAACTGATGGGCACAGATGCAGTTGCAAGAATGGGGGCCAAAAGCAAGGAAAAGACATGACGATGTTCTCGTGTTGCCACTCATGGTCCACCAGCAGTTTGAGAATCCTCGTGCAAGTCCACTCAGCACTAAGGTCTGCCAAGATGCTTGGCCGTGTGTCTCGCTGCGTGCGCCCTCGCCACCTGCCTACTTTGAAGCACCCCAAGCATCGAAACTCTAAGAAACTAGATTGTGGTACAGTAGACATATTCTCATGCCTGTTTGGGTTGCCATAGTTTCCATCTGCATGTACAGATGTGAGCAGGGCGCGAGAGTGAGAGAGACTGTAGGTCTGGCCCGACATGTCTCACAACTCCTGGCCGAACCAATGGCGTGGAATCAGGCTCCGTCCGAAACCTTATGCTCATGCACCCCTAGTGCTTGGTAGGAAGGTTTTCGGGGTTTGGAGCACTCGTGTGTGCGGTGCCACAGGCCCCAGTAACTGTCACCACGCTTCCCAACGGCGTCCGTGTACTGCTCTTAACAAGCACTTGGCTGCAGACAACTTGGAGGCTGAGGCAGGGCTGAACATGAACTTGCCTTCAACTTCAGGTGGCAACAAAGGAGACCTTTGCTGAG